GGGGGGCAGGGAGAAGAGTGACACACGTGTGCTATGTATCAGGCGCAAGCCGGCCAGAGAGGGGAGGAGAGGGAGGCTGAGAAGGGGCCGGCGGCGAACGCGACGAGCGCGTGGCGTGCGTGCGTGTGCGTGTGCGTGTGCGTCGCTCGGCGGACGGGCTCCGGGAGCGGGGGCCGAGGGGGGGGGGGGGAAGGGGGAGAGAGAGAGAGAGAGAGGTGGCGCGAGAAGTCGGATGGAGGGGGAAGGCGCGGGCGGAGAGAAGAGGGCCGAAACGAGGAGTGAGGGCAAGGGCGCGCGAGAGGGGAGAGGGGGAGGGATGGCCAGAGCTCCGGGGGTGGTTGTGGAGGCGCGGGTTGCCCTCTTGCGTTTACGGCGCGTCTCTTCAGGAGCCAGGCAGCGGGGCGGCGGCGGCGGCGGCGGCGGCGGCGGCGTGGGAGCGGCCAACGGCACCGTAGGGACCCAAAGGCACGACCAGGGCCAGGGGGCGGGGTGGAAGGCATGGCGGGGCACGCGCGGGCCACACATACACGCACGCCCACACACGCCCACACATACACACGCCCACACGCTTGGGAGGGGGGACTAGGGCACCCCCCGCAGCCGCACCACCACCCCGGGCATGATGCGCGGCGGCGGGGGGGGGGGGGGGCGGCAAACGGAAAAGCGGCCAGACACGCAACTAGCGCCGAAAGGGGTCTGGGCCAGCCTCCAACGGTAAATGTCCAGTCAGACCCACACGGGCCACGCCCGTCCGAGGAGCCCCCCCCCCTCAAAGTGCCCAAAAAGCCCTCTGGCCCAGGGAGGCGGGCGGCGGGCGGCGGGGACGGACAGGCAGACCGTGTGCACATGCGTGTCCAGTCAGACACCCCCCCCCCCCTGTGGCACTAGCGGACCGGGGAGATCATCCCAACTGCGCGGGGAAATGGACGGCCCCACACGCCCCCTTCCTCGCCCCCCCGGAGCGGCCGTTGTCACTTGCACGGGGAGTGTGCGCGCGTGGGGGGGGGGGGGCGCGGGGGACCGTCCGGCCTTCGGCTACCCAGCCCCTTCCTCCGCTGGTTGCCGGAAGGCCGAAGGAAGGAGGTGCATGGACGGCAGGGAGGTGGGGCCCGGAAACGAGAACCGGCCATCGCCCAGTCCGGTGCTGCCAGCGGGAGTCAGGCGTGCTTGTTGCGCAGGCCTCTTGACGAAAATTGCTCAAATTTGCTCGGATGTATCAAGCATCCGTTCTAAACCCTACTGCGCAGGACCGATGATGGCCCGAGGCCGCCATCGTTTCCTAACCCCGCGGAGCTGTATTATGGTCGCGTGATTCCAGCGATCGCGACACCGGCGGCCCCGTTTTCAAGACACACGCCGCCCGGCCGGGGCTGCCTACCCGCGACATGCGGAGAAAGGAGGACGGGAAGGGCAGGCACCTCTTCCCCGCAATCTGGGGCAGATGGCTGCCGCGACGCGCCCACACATACACACGCACAAAGCAAGCTACAGGGCGGGGAGGACAGAAGAAGGGGGAGGCGAAAACAACAAGGAGATGGCAGAGCACAGGCGGGGATGTGGAGGGGGAAATGCATTTTTTTGACACCCCCAGGCCAGGGATATTGGCGGGGAGGAGGGACAAGGCCAAGAGAAGGGGAGAGAGACAGACAGACAGAAAGAGAGAGAGAGAGAGAGAGAGAGAGAAAGAAAGAAAGGGAGGAAGGGAGAGGGAGGGAGGCGAGATGCGGAACGGGAAATGCACAATCTCACCCAGACGCGCATGGAGCACTGGAAGATCAGAGGAGGGGAGGGACACCCCCCGCCCCGCGCGCCTCCAGGCACCGTCTGCTTCATCCCTGGAGGCGGCCTACTGATGCGCGGAGGCCGTGGTGGGGGGCGGACCCTGCGGAGGGTGGCGGTCGTAGGAACCGGCACCCTCGCCATTGCCGCCGGCACTGCCACGCTGGTGCCGGCCGCCGCCCCCGCCGCCGGAGTACGACTGAGGATAGCCGGGCCAGCCACCGGCAGCCGACGGCGGCGGCGGCGGCACACCATAACCAGGCATCGGACCACCGCCCATCATCATCATCGGGCCCATCCCGGGGAAGAAACGCTCCGGTCCAGGCCCCCCGCTGGCACCAGCGCCGCCGGTGTACGGCTGGTAGGGAGGCGGCACGGGGATGTTGGCTGGGGTCTTCTTCGGGGCGGTGGGGGCCGCCGTGGCCGCCGGGGCGGCCGCGGAGTTCCCGACACTCGACGCATCAGCACCCGGACCGCTGCCAGCCGACGGGGGAGCAGGAGCAGAAGGAGGGGGAGGAGGTGGGGGGGGCTGTTCGGCGCCCGCATCGGCGCCCGACGGCGGCGGCGGCGGCGGCGGCGGTGGTGGCTGCTCCGAGCCGGCATCCCCGCCAGCTCCCGGCGGCGGCGGCGGCGGCGGCGGCGGCGGCTGGTCCTCGCTGCCAGTGCCAGGCGGCGGTGGCGGGCCGCCGTGGGCGCCCTGGTGCATGTTCTGGAAGTACATTGCCCAAGCAGGGTCCACGGCCGGCGGACCGGCCGCCGGATCGAAAGGCTTGTCCCCGCCCGGGGGGAACTGCATCATGTGCCCATGCATCGGAGGCCAGCCTGGGAAGAAATGCCCAAGAGAAGGCGCATGTCAGGAGAGAGGGTGAGTCAGTTGCGTGCGATTGGGGATGCCGGCAACCAGCAGGAGGAGGAGGAGGAGGAGGAGGAGGAGGAGGAGGAGAGGGAGGCTGCCGCATGGGCACAGGCAGAGAAGAGGGATGTCGGCAAAGCGCACCACCATGAGGAGGACGGGGACCGCCGAAGCCCGAGCCATGATGCGGAGGAGGGAAGAAGTGGGGAGGGGGGAAGTTGCCATAGCCGTGTGGCCCGGGGGGGCCACCGTGCGGGGGGAAACCACCGCCGCGACCGCCATGCGGGCCGCGCGATGAGCCACCCGGGCCACGGCCAAAGTTGGGGCCCGGGGGATGGAAGTGCCCGTCGTCCGGGCCGCCGGCAGCATTACCACCACCGCCGCCACGGGGGCCTGGCCCGGCGTCGGGGCCACCGGAACCGGCCGCAGCGGCAGCCGCCTCCGGAGCATCAGGCGGCAGGTCACCGAGCTCGGCGATGAAGCGCAAGTAGTCGCGCTGCGCCTCATCGGGATTAACCGGCGGCCGGGGCGGGCCACCGGCGTCCGGGCCACCAGGGTGATGCGGATCGCCCATGGGGCCGCCGCCGAAGCCGCCGTGCGGTCCGCCATGCGGTCCGCCATGACGGACCGGGCAGTCCCGGCGCAAGTGCCCCACACCATTGCAGTTGTGGCAGGTGATGGTATTGGTGACGCTCCGGCGCTCGGTACAGTCGCGCTGCATGTGCCCGGTGGAGCCGCAGTTGCGGCAGGTGATCGAGTCATCCGTGCGCAGGGTGCCGTTGTAGGAGGCCAGCTCGCGGAGCTGGTTGCGCTTGCGGTCGTTCAGCTCCTCGGGGACGGACTTCGCGGTCTCAATGACCTCCATGATCACTGCCACCAGCGGCGAAGGGGTGAGACCGAGGGGAAGGGGAGGGAGTGGAACAAGATAGGCAAGAGGAGGGGGCGGGGGGTCAGAGATGGACGAAACCCACAGGAGGACCAACAATGAGACAGGGGGGAAACGCGACGTACGGTCGATGGTCTTGCGAACGATTTCCTGGGTGTCAGCCACGATGATGCAGTGGAGGGGCTCCTCATCTTGGGCAAGGGAGTATTCGGAGTTCTTGCCATCCTTGACGGAACCCTTGCCACGGATGAAAATCCGGCTCCCGCCAGACTCCTGCTCCATGCGCTTGAGGGTGTTGCCACGAGGCCCGATCAGCTGGCCAAGGAAATTGATATGGGGATACTCCTCCGACGGGATGAACACCTATAGTGCGCCAGTGCCCGGGGGAAGGGAGAGAGGGGTGAGCATCGCGGAGGAGGGAGAGAGAGAGAGAGGGGGGGGGGGTATAAATGCACAGCAACCAATGGCCAGGCGCCAAACGAGGGGCGTACCTTCTCCCGGACCTGCGTCGGCCGCCGGTAGTCACTCGGAGGCCGGTAGTTGGGGATGGTGGAGATGGCCGTCTCGATGAGGGTCTTGCGCTCGTTCTCCAGCTTCTTGCGGTAGCGCTTCTCCCGGGTGTTGGTACGGTTACCGTGCGAGTCGTACGTCGGCGGGGGGGAAGGGGAGCTTCAAGGGGAGGGGAGCGGGAGAGAGAGAGAGAGAGAGAGAGAGAGAGAGGGGGGGGGGAGGACAAGAGAGTGGCAGGACAGAAGGGTGAGATGCTCGGGCGAGGAAGGGGGAACCCCCGGGCGACACGGGCCAACAGCAAGGGCCACGGCGGCGGGACACACATACCGGTTATGCTCCGGCGGGGTCAGATGCGGCATGGCCAGGGTCCGGGTCAGCTCATCGATCTTCATCTGCAGGTGGAAGTGCTCGATCTCCTCGGGGGTGGCGTTGGGGTGCGGCTGTGGCAGGGGGAAGGGCATGTGCGGGCCGCCACCGCGCCGGGCGTGGCTCTGCTCGACCTGGCCATCGGCATTGCGGTCGAAGCGGCTGCGCCGGGGAGGGGCCTGGTCCAGCCCCTCCGGGCCGCCGTGCTCCGAGTGCCGGTCGAAGCGCGAGTGCCGGGGAGCCGGGCCCTCGGCATCGAAGCGCCGCCGGGGGACCCGATCACGGCTCCGGCTCCGGCTCCGGCTCGGGGGGCCCTCGTCGCGGATCGGATGATCCCGACCCCGGCGATCGTCGAAGTCCCGACCACGGCGGTCCCGGCCGCGATCCCGGTCATACCCGCGGTCACGCTCACGATCCCGGTCGTAGCCGCGATCGCGCTCGCGCTCACGGTCATACCCGCGGTCACGCTCACGGTCGCGGTCGTAGCCGCGGTCGCGCTCACGGTCGCGATCCTGGCCGCGGTCGCGCTCGCGCTCACGGCCTCGGTCGTAGCCGCGCTCGCGGTCCCGGTCACGCTCGCGGTCCCGGTCATACCCACGGTCGCGCTCGCGCTCCGGCTCCGACCGGTCGTGACTCCGCCGGTCGCGATCTACGTCCTCCGGGACGCCGGTGGCGACGTCGCCGCGGTCGCGCGTTAGTGTGTCCATGGTCACTGCGCGCGTGCGCTGGGGAGGAGAAGGGAGGAGTGGGGGGTGGGGGGGAGGGAGAAGAGGCCTGGAAGGAACTCTTCAGGGGGCGGAGTGTCACGGGGGACTGGCCGCCAGAGATGGACAGAGGTCGTGGGTGTGGGCTGCAGGTGCCGGGGCCAGATCCGTTGTGGTGGCGGAGCGGCGAAGGGTGGGGGTGGGGGAGGACGTGGAGCCGTGCCAGTGATGGGGTGAATAGCGTAGAGGCCAAGGTAGGAGAGGGAGAGAGAGAGAGAGAGAGGAAGGAGGCCCCAAAAGTGTGGTGGAGAGGGGTATGTAGGTGTGGTGGGGTGTCTCGCGGGTGTTGGCTGAGTCATCGTGGTGCTGTGCGAAAAAGGCGCCGACAAGGAGCCGGGCCGCGCTGGTCGCAAAGGGGCAGGACATCCCCCCCCCCCCCCCCCCCGTCACCTCCCCCTCTCGCCCCCCCCGCCCGCCTCGCAGCTACCCGCTCGCTCGTACCC